AGAGAGAGAGAGAGAGAGAGAGAGAGAGAGAGAGAGTGTATTTATTTATTTATTTTAGTTCTCGGCGGACACAACATCTCTGTTTGTATGTGGTGCCGAGGATCGAACCCGGGCCGCATGCATGCCAGGCAAGCGCACTACCGCTTGAGCCACATCCCCAGCCCAAATTTCTACTTTCAACTGCTCCATTCTTATTACTCCAGCAATGATAGCAACCCTGGAAAGAGAACTGTTTGCAGTATCATTGACTCAACCCTTTTTTGCTGGGTTAAGCCCCCAGAAATGCCGAACTGGAAAGGAGAAATGGCCTCTTAGCCTTTTATGTTCATTCTGATAACCTTGCAGAACAGTAGACAAGGTAGACTGTATTTTAGTTATTGTATGCTCAGGTAGGTCTTGATGGTTCTTATGAAAATTTGTTCAGGTTTCTCAGTTCTATTTTAATTCATAAGAAATGTTGTGTGTTCTGTATGCCATTTGGTGATTATATCTTTTTAATTTACAGGATATTGAATTTGGTCTCTTCATAACTATACATGATTAACATTAGTGGCCTTTGAGTTTCTTTCTAGTATAAAAGTCAAAGAATGCATTGTTGGTAAATAATAATAATCTTTTTTAGAAAGAAGTTGCATAAATATAGATATAAAAATTTGATGTTTGACATTGAGTTTTTAAAAGCATTATTTGTTTTGTTAGGCGATAATTGGAAATATTTGGGTAAAAGACTGGTCAGCTAATTGGTATGGTTTAACAAAGATTTGTCTTTGAGATTGCCATTGTGGGGGTTTGGGTGGGGCGGTTTTTGCAATTTCTGCATCCCTTGATTCCTAGACAGTTTTGAGTCCTGACTAAAAATGAGACAAGAGTTCACTATCAGAATGACATGCATCATAGGTTTAAAGTACACAAACTACTTCAATTATTACACAAAGTACATAAAGTATTAAAGAAATGTAACAATGACTTTCATTTTTTTTTAAAGAGAGAGAGAGAGAGAGGAAAAAAAAATTTTTTTGAAAATATTTTTGTTTTTTAGTTTTTGGCAGACACAACATCTTTGCTGAGGATCGAACCCGGGCCACACTCATGCCATGCGAGCGTGCTACCGCTTGAGCCACATCCCCAGCCCCAATGACTTTCATTTTGAGACATCACCATTATGTCATATTCTTTTCCTCAGAATTTACATGCCTATATTTGGGGCAGGTTTATTCACTCATTTTAAGTTAATTCATCCTGTACTTAGTGAGCAGCTTTGAAACATGTCATGCATGTTTCAAGGATTAAGGAGGTTTGGCATCTGTTTTTGCAGAACTTTCAGGGTAATCCTGAAGACAATCATGGAAATCTCTAGTCCTCATCACTGTGAAAGTTTCTAATGGGATGTGGAAAGTGAAGAGGAAGTGCAGAGGAGGGCATGACTGAGCCTGGGGCTTGGGGTCAGCTTCTGACCAGTTCTCCCATAATTACATTAATTTTTAATATTTCCCTTTCTTGGCAGAATAGAAAAGATCTTTGATTTTTCTCCAGGGATTTCACTACAAGTTTAAAACTCAAGTTATGGAGATACTCCTAGTATTAGAAATTGTCAAAAATGATGTATTTCTTTCCAAATGCTTATGTTTATTAAGTTAGAATTAAGCAATATTCTGTTAAGTCTGTTCCCTTGGGCTGAATGATATTGCAGTGGATACCCTCCCTTTCTTCCACTAGAATAAAAGAATATACCGGGGAGTACAACTAAGGTCCATGAGGATAAATAGTCTTTGGCTCTCTGCGATGTTGTGTCCCCAGCTCCTCCACCTATGACCATCACTCAGTAGGCGTTCAGTGAATGCATGTTGAGTGAATTGGCACTGTTGTCCTGAGTGGAGCCATATCTACTGTCTCTTCTTCCTCAAGAGGAACACACATGTGCACCATGGGTATCCAAAATGGATAAGAGCTGACTGCATTAGACAAGGGACACACTGTTTTGCTCTCTGTAGAAATTCATACTCATCAATAAACTTCCCATACCTGAACAAATAAAGAAACATGTTCCTTTGTCTTTCTTATTTTACTCCAGAGAAGATGGTTGGGTTTTTTGGAATCCTTCCTTTTGAGTATTATGTTAAAATATTATATTTTCCCCCCCTTTGTCTGCAGCAAAGCCAGGACTCTGTTTGAAAAAAATGCTGCCCCGATTTTACATTTATCTGGCATGGATGTGACTGTCGTTAAGGTGAGAATGCTCGGGAGTGTTGATTTTTGCCGAAGCCACCACCCCTTTAATGTATCTTCTGCTCTTGTCTTCTTAACAGAAATCACTTGTCACTTATGACAAGAGCAAAGAAATCAGTGTTGTATTTTGTTCTGATAATTAATAAAAGCAGTTTTGTTTTTTGTGACATTGTCAGCTTTTCATTTTCACAACAGGATTAAGTGGAGGCATGGAGACCTTGGTTCCTTTCATCTGAGACAGGAGATGGAATTATTTCTTGAAGGATGCAAGTTGTTGTAGCTGACAGAATTCTTTCCTCAAAATAGGAAACCCTCCAGTTTTAGTAATTTAATTTCTTGGTGGTGCTACAAATATATAAATGTTTTTCTTTCTGGTAAGGAATTATCTATGGTGAGGAATTAGCATTTTCAGATTTAGGTGAGAAGAAAATGGAAAAAAAGAAGAAATTGTGCTGTTCCAGAAGATGCCGCAAGTCCCTACTTGTTGAATTTTACATATATGGGTGCCTACATTCCATAAGGTGTTTCCAAGTTGGTTGGTTAACCTGTTGCTAGTATTGCACACTTTGACTAAATCACAGAGGTTAAAAGGTGATTTAGTCTGATTATATACAGGTTAACTCTTTTCCAACTTTTCTGAGACATCTTCCAGTTGTTTGTTTTGGGGATGCGAGAAAGGGGAGGATGACATTTGAGTACCTACAATGTGTTAGATTCTAGGTAAGAGACGTTAGAGTAGTTACATGTAAGATTGATATTATCTGTTCTTTGAATGATTGATTGAACTCATGAGTAGAACCATCTGAGCTTCGAGTTTTCTTTGAAGGGAGATTTTCTTTGTATTAAATTTCTTTAATGGTTCTAGAAGTACTCAAGGAATTTGTTCATTTCATCTAAGTTTTCAAATCAGATGGGATCAAGTTTTACATAATATCTTCTTTTAAAGTTTAAATTTATATAGCATCTGAAATGCCTGTTTCATTCTTCTTATTGTTTAGTTTTTCCCTTTTTATTTTTTTCCCCTCAGGAGTCTTATGAAAGGTTTTCCACTATAATTAGTCCTGCCATCTTTTGGCTTATTCTTATTTTCGTGGGAGATTATATTTTATTCATTTCTGGTCTGTTATTATTTCCTTCATTCTATTTTTTCTTGCTATTTTGGCATTATAACTTGATGCTTATTTATTCATTCTCATCTTTATTTTGTATTATATATATTTAAAGCTATAAATTTTATTCTACTGCTTCAGTATTCTATAACTTACTCAAATTTTTTTTTCTTAAATCCTTGACATTGAAGACTTTATTCCTGAAGATCATCATGTCTGACAATAAATAAGAGGATAATTTTACAGATGGAGAAATTCTAAAACAGAGAAAGCAAATAATTTATGTAGGTGAGCCATTATGCCATAGGTAAAAATACACAAAGAATTTTTTACTTTAATGATCCATTATTTTACGTTGAAATGTGTTTTTTAGTTAAGGAAATTTTCTTTATTCATTTATCCATTTTTGGACACTTAGTTTGCTTCCTATCATGGCTATTGTGAATAATGTTATAGTGAACTTTTAACTTTGACATAGAGTACTTTCATTATCATTCATTTCTAAATATTTTCTAATTTCACCATGATTTTTGCTTAATTTGAGCTATTCAAACATGTTTTAATTTCCAGATCTGAAGTTTTTCTTGTTATCATTTTGTTAGATTTTTGATTTAATTTCATTGGTAAAAAGGTAATCAATATAATTTCATATTTTATTGGAATTTGTATTATAGACCAGAATGTGGTCTTCTTTCATAAATGTTCTGTATATGCCTAAAAATGATTCATATCAATTATTAGGTACCAGGTCCTGTTTATGTTCATTATGTAAGTTCTATTCATTATGTGATTCAAATCTCTATCGTTCCTGGATTTTTTCTGGTTTAACTTGTCTATTTCTCTACATAGTTTTGTCCATTTTTGCTATACTTTTGACTGTTGCTGTACTTTTACCTTTAGGGATGTCATATAGTTGGAATCATACAGTGTGTAGCCTCTTCAGGTTAGAGTCTTTCATGTAGCACTATGCTAACTGTTGACTTCTCTCATGTAGCATTTTACCTTCCTCCGTTGTCTATTTGTAACTTTATAAAGCTCATTTCTTTTATTCATAAAAGCTATTTGTTGTAGCTAAAATAGTATTCTGTCATCTTGATATATTGCCATTTATCCATTTACTCACTGAAGTATACTTAGATTGCTTCCTATTTTGGCAGTTATGAATAAAATTGCTACAAATGTGAACTTTTTGTGGACATAAGTTTTTAAGTCATTTGAGTAAATACTTAGGAATGCTATGGCTGGATAATATGTAAGTCTGTTTAATTTTATAACAAACTGTCAAACGGTCTTCCAAAGCATCTGTAACATTTTGCATTCTGTTGTTCTGCATTGTCTTCAGCATTTGCTGTTTTCTCTTTTGTATTTTAGACATTTTAATAGAGATATAGTGGTATCTTCTTGTTTTAATTTGTAGTTCCCTGCCTGATGACAGATAATGTTCCCATATGCTTACTGTCCATCTGCAGATCTTGATGAGGCCTCTATTCAGATCTTTGCTCTTTTAATTGGGTTGTTGAGTTTTAAGAGTTCTTTGTATTTTTTTAAAATAAGTCCTTGAATAAGAAATGTATTTTGTGAATATTTTCTCTCTGTTGTGTCTTGTTTTTCCATTTTCTTAATAGTGGTCTTTTTGTTGTTTTTTGTTTTGTTTAGTGCTTTTAGGAATTGAACTCAGGGGTACCCTGCTGCTGAGCCACATTCCCAGTCCTTTTTATTTTTTATTTGAGACAGGGTTTCTCTGTGTTGCTCAGGCTATCCTCTAATTGGCTATCTTCCTGCCTCAGCCTCTGGAGTTGCTGGGATTACAAGCAATGCACCACCATACCTGGCTTGATAGTGTCTTTTTCAGAGCTGATGTTTTTCATTTTAATGAAATCCAATTTACTAACTAGTTTTTTGTTTTGCACTGCTGGGTATGGAAACCAGGGCCTCCTGTATGCTAGACAAGTGCTGTACTACTGAGCTATAACCCCAGCTCTGTTAATTTCTTCTTTTATGGATCTTGCTTTTGGTAATGTAGCTAAAATTTCATTGTCAAGCCCAAGATCTCTTAGACTTTTTCCTACATGATCTTCTGGAAGTTTTATTGTTTTGCATTTTACCCTTAGTTCAGTGATCCACTTGGAGTTAGTTTTTGTGAGAGACATAGGTCAGTAACTAGGGTGTTTTTGTTTATTTGTTTTGTTTTTTTGTGTGTCATTAGGCTACTTTTTTGTCATTAAGCTACTTTTTTGTTCTTCTCTTAGGACATTTCATATTTTCTTCCCAAGATCAGCACCTCAAATGCATTATTCTTATTAATGTAATCTTCTTAATTATGGTCTGCTAAATCCGTCAAGATCTTTTTGAATTCTTTCATTGATGAACCTATTCATGTATATTAATTGTTCTTGAAAGTATTCAAATATACCTATTCATATATATTGTATTTGGAAGTATTTATTGAGTGCCTACCATAGCTAAGACCAGTTCTAGGTGTTGAGTATACATTCTAAACAAAAGAAACCGTCTGTCCTGAAAGAGCTTTCTTTCAAAGTTTGAAAGGAAAGAACACAGACAAAAAATAAATGTACAAAAAAAACAACTGCTTTGCCAGATAGTGCTGAGTGCTAAGAAGAAAGATGAGGAGGAAACTTTAATGAGGGGGCTGGTTTTAGTTCAGATGGCCAGGGAAGACTGGTCTGATAAAATGACCTTTGAAGGAGTCACATGGGTGCTTGAGAAAAGAGATCATGGGCCAAAGATATCACATATAGAAAGGCTCTGAGGCATGTTGGGGGAATAGTAAGTGAGATGAGCAAAGGGAGAGAGGTTAGAGAAGTAAGGGAGGGCAAGATTGTCAGCTTTTTACCATTTACGTGTCCAGTCAATAACTTTTTGTCCTAATTGTTGACAATAACTTTTTGTCCTAATTGTTGACAAAGGGTTTAGGAAGAGGTTAAAGGGAAAGCCCTGATGAAATGTTCTTAGTAATCTTCTGATAATTGACATTCTGCTGAGCCTTTTGCTTTGGGGCCACAAACATTTCATTGGTTGCTAATCTGTTGCATTGTATTCTAGCATCTTGTTTCCACATTTCTCCACCTTGTCTACAGCGGGATCATGGAATAACTAGTCAGGGGCCTTGCTGAAGACCAGGTACAATGTGGCTGTATAATATCCCAACCTCCTGAGCTAATAATTTGTCAAAGAAGGAAATGAGCATCTTAGTGAACCCATGCTGATTCCTAACACACACCCATTTCTGGGTGTTCACAAGCCCTTTAAATCAAGATTGACTAGGCATATTCATTTTAAGCAACCAAATATTTGTAAATGTAACTCTGAAGCAAATCATTTCCTTTTTAGAATAAAAGTAGAAAAACTAAATGATGTCATTTTAGGGACCTCCTTTTTTCTCTGAATTAATGTCATATTAGGACTTAGTAACCTGTGACTCCTTGCTGGGTATTTTCTCACATTGTCCAACAGTTCAGTTCAATTCTGACACTAGCTTCCACCATGAGCATAGACTCCATAGGTGAAAGGCTCAGTCCTACCAAGACCACCCTCAGTGCAGGACCAGTTGAAATATCAGAAGTAGGAGGTCACTGTGCTTCTGACCATCGAGCTGTGAATGGAAGTTCCACAACCCTTCCTCAGGTTTGATAATTTGCTAGAATAACTGAAACTTGGGAAAACACTTTTATTTTGTTTACTGATTATTATAAAGGATACAACTCAGGAATAGCCAAATGGAAAGATGCATATGGCAAGGTGTGGAGGCAGTGGGGTTGGCAGAGAGTTTCCATGCCCTCTGGATGTGGCACCCTCACAGTAGCTAGATGTGTTCATTAACTAGAAGCTCCCAGACTCTTGAAAACATGAGGGTTTTTATGGTGTCCCATTAGTAAGCATGATTGATTAAATAACTGACCATTTGTATATGAACTCAGTCTAAAGTCTCCTGCCTTGCTTGGTGGCCAGGGGATAAGGCTACAAGTTCTAGCTCCCTAAGTCGTTTGCTGGTCTTTCTGATGCCAGCCCCCATCTTGAAGCTAGCCAGGGCCCATGGAGAGTCACCACTAGAGCGCACACTCAAGTGTGGTTGAGAGGGCTTGCTATGAACAACAAAAGACCTCTGTCACTTGGTAAATTCCAGGAGCTCTGCCAGGAACAGGGGACAAAGACCACATACATTTTTATTCTACCATAGGTGCATTAGCCCATCTGAAATCTAGATATTTGTGTATTAATGTACCTAGAGTACTTTCAATTGGAAGAAGTGTTTTCTTCTTCAGTGTCACTTGCATTATGTGTTTTAAAATTTGTTGTGGGGTTTAGAGATACACATATCATTGGTGACTGAAATGTTTCATTTAAGTCCATGCATGGATCTGAGATGAAATGTTGTCAGCAGATGGTAAGGCTTAAGTATTCTTTTATGGTAACTTTGAAACATACCTGTATTTCTTTATGCAAAATCACAACCAAACAATCACCTTGTATTATTTAGTACAGTACCAATTATGAACATTTGCCTGTCTAGTTGTCTTAACATTATGCTTTACAAAAGTAGAACAAGGAAGCTATTATTACCCCTCCTCAATACATAATTTCATTGATAAGGAAATTAAGACCTGGAGAGTTGAAGGTCACTCAGCTAGAAAGTAGCAGAGTTGGGATTCAATAAGTCTCTTGGGCTCTGAAATTTGTGTTCTTTTCATTACCTCTGTGTCTCCCTATTTGCATATACACTTGACTTCCTGCCTTCAGATGAAAAGCAGTGGGTAAATGATGTAATGGAATCTGCACTGGACTGTAAATGAGTCCTTTGACTAGCTAACCATATGACTGGGGCAAATCAATGGGTTTGAATTTTGTTTTTGAAATAAAGAGCTGACTAGATAATTTCTGAACTTCCTTCTTGCTCTAAAAGTATAAAACTATAAAACAATATGTAATTGCTTTGATTAGCTATTTGTTTTTTCATGTCTATCAATTATGTAAGACTTAAGAAAAGAGTCAGTGTAAACTTTAAAGAAAGTACCCCACATTTTATTATTTTTATTTTTATTTGTTGTAGTTGGACATAATATCTTTATTTTATTTATTTATTTTTATGTGGTACTGAGGATCGAACCCAGTGCCTTACATGTGCTACAACTGAGCCACAATCCAGCCCCAGTATCTCACATTTTTAACCTTGACCTAGGATGATAACTTTACCAAAGTCTTCTTTTGTGTTTCAGACAGATTATGAGGGACAAGCCAAGAAACTCCTGGAATTGATGGAGAGCACAGATGTGATCATTGTTGCTGGAGGAGATGGGACACTGCAAGAGGTATGACTCTTTCTCTTTGAGGCCATTTGAAGATGAGACAAATGGAAATTAGATTTGAGAATAATGGAGTATAGTGTTACAGTTAAACTTTATTCTTTGGGATTGTTGCTGTCAAACTAGTATATTTCTAAATTTTTCTCACACTTTTATTTCTTTTTTTCTTTTTTTTCTTTTTTTTAAGTCCTCTATCCATCACATAGAAAGGCTAATATATCATCAAATTGAAGTTTGATAAAACTGAATAAAAAATGAGGAAAAATGGTGGTGGGTTTGAAAACCCTTAGAAAGTAGCCCTGTTTGTAACAGAATCATAGTTTCTATTATGAGAAATATTCCTTACCAAATAAACTTAAAGATTCCTTTTAAGAAAATGGGGAATTGCCCATTCTCACATCATCACTGTCATATTTAATGTTATTTCTTAATTCTGCATTTTTAGGAAGAGAGGCTACATGTTCAGATGTATGCATGTGTTTTTTATTTTTTGTTTTCTACATTACTGGGCATGGAACTCAGGGCCTAGCATGTGTTAGGCAAACACTCCCACTGAATTACACGTGCCACCCTGCCTTTGCTTTACTATTACATAGCTTCAATAAGATACCACTACATACCTATTAGAATGACTGAAATCTAAAACACTCACAATATCCAATGCTGCTAAAGGTATGGAATAAGAGGAACTTTCAGTCATTGATGGTGGGAATGTGAAATGGTTTAGCCACTTTGTACCTATTGGGACAACCAAAATTCGCAATAAACAAAATAAAAAATGGTACAGCCACTTTGGAACAGTTGGATAGTTTCTCACAAAACTGAATATATTTTCCCCATATGGTCAGGTTCCTTAGTATTTTCCAAAGGCATTGAAAACTCAATGTCCACACAAAAACCTGCACATAAATGTTTATAGCAGCTTTAGTAGCAAAACTTGGAAGGTATAAGGTATCCTTTACTAGGTGAATGGATAAATAAAGAATGGTATAGACAGATAATGAAATATTATTAAGCATTAAGAGAAATGAACTATCAGGCCATGGAAAGACTTGAAGGAAGCTTAAATGCTTATTACTAAGTGAAAGAAGCCAACGTGAAAAGGCTACACACTCTCTGATTCTAACTACTTGACATCTGGGAGAGACAAAACTATGGAGACTGTAAGATCAGCCTTGAGTTGACAAAATGTTTTTAAGAAGTTGATAGAAGAGAGGGATGCCTATGCAGAGCAGAGAGGATTTTTAGGGCAACAGTACTACTCTTTATAATGATGAATGCATGTCTTTATATATTTTTTGAATCCCAGAGAATGTGCAACAGACAGTGGACCCTAATATCAACTGTGGAGTTTGGGCCATAATGATGATTGATACAGGTTCACCAATTTTAAGAAGTGTACCACACTGTTGGGGGATGTTGGTAATGGGGTATACATTTGTGGAGTTTGGGGTCTATGGGAAATCAATGTCCTTTCCTATCAATTTTTCTTTGAACCTAATACTGTTTTTTAAAAAGAAAGTTTATTAATTAAAAAAAGTGACACATCCTTGAAACTTACTTTGGTCCAGTAAGGATGGTATGTCGTCCTGCAGGTGCTCTTCTTTCCCTGTAGCACACCAGTGCTGCTGGTGCACACTGGGAACCCCTCAGAGCTCTGTCCAGGGGATGCTACCCATTGTTCTGGTGTTCCTTCTACACTCAGGCCTCATTTCTTATCACCTGTCATCTCTGTTGGGTGGTGTCTTCAGTGTACAGTGATGAGAAGCTAGCAGCAGACAGGCTGTCTGTCCTATGTTTGACTTGGTACTTATGTAAGCCTTAGTGAGCTTTTTAAAAGGCTGTGCTAATGATCTTGTAATTGTTTTTATGGCTTTTTAATGAAGTGTGAAGAATACTGATAACATGACTACAAACAGTGAAGCAGACCACTTGACAGCCCCATTTAATACTGAAACTCTGTGAGGTGGGAGAAGATCAAGGGAGAAGATTTGTGTCAGCCTTGACTTGACACAATGTTTTTAAGGAAAGACAACAAATTGTATATTTGGTATAATCATGGTAATATTAATTGGGCTGGGGATGTGGCTCAAGCGGTAGCGCGCTCGCCTGGCATGCGTGCAGCCCGGGTTCGACCCTCAGCACCACATACAAACAAAGATATTGTGTCTGCCGAAAAACTAAAAAATAAATAAATATTAAAGTTCTCTCTCTCTCTCTCTCTCAAAAATAAATAAATAAATAAAATAAAATAGGTATTGATTAAAAAATTTTTTGAGAAGTATTCCAAAATTTTAAAAAGTGATTAATATTGGTTATTCATTATGGTAGAAAAATGAGAAATTATTTTTTTCTTCTGGTATTTTTCATAACTTTATAAGAATAGTATCTCCCTTGTCTTCATATTCCTCAGTAAGAAATATTTATTGTGTGCAGGTTTCTCTGAGTGTAGCAAGTTGTTTTTTCCTTTATATATACTTTGTAGTAGCAAACTAGTCTGTGTGTATCACAGTTATATAAAAAAGCATGTAGACATTATAAGATTATGTTTTGTAGAACTTAAAACATGATTTTACTAATGTGGAGTTTTTGTAATTATTTTATCTTAGTCTTTATTGATCATAGGTTAATAGTAATAATATCTAATTTAGCTCATAATATTTTGGAATACTGTATATTTTAAGATCCATTTTATCATTTAACATAATTTCTAGGAAGAAAACAAGTAAATTTGTGGTCCGTGAAAATTGAGCCCAATTTTGTTAGGATAAAGGAAAAACATATTCATGATATTTTTATATATATATTTGTAGGTTGTTACTGGAGTTCTGCGAAGAACAGATGAGGTGAGCTTTTAAGAAAGAGTAATTGGCTGGATTTGGTGGTGCATGCCTGTAATCCCTGCAACTCAGGAGGCTGAGGCAGGAACATCAGAAGTTTGAGCCCAGCTTTGGCAACTTAGTGGGACCCTGTCTCAAAATAAAAAAACAAAAAGTACTGGGGATATAACTCGGTGGTAAAGCTCCTCTGGATTCAGTCCTCAATACAAAACAAAAAGAGAGAGTAATTATATTTTAGCTTTTACTTTTCTGTTTGTTTTTTCCCTCTTTTTTCTTTTACTTTTTTTTTCTCCATTTTATATTTTAAAGCAAGCACATGTTGTGATTAGAATGGATTTTAGTAAGGAGAGTACCACTGCCTTTTCATAGGGTGCTCATCAACCCAAGGTGGACTTTCTAATTGGTAATCCAGGGTATCCAATAGCTTTTAACAATCATTATTTAGAACATAAAATTTTGCTGTGGTATCTTTTCTTTAAGGAATTCCTTCATAAATAAATCATGGTATAGTCACCTAGTGAAAACCAGCCAGCAGTTAAAAGAATGAATTAGATCTATAGTATCTATATGTTTAAATCTCAAATATTGAATTTTAAAAGACAGGTTGCTGAAGCATGTGATGAATTTCTACAAAGTTTTAAAATTCATAAAGCAGTACTGCATATCGTTAATGGGTGTCTAGATACGTAGCAAGAATGATAACATGGGTAGAAAGGAATCCCACTGGCCTGTCTTCTATTTGAAGGATAATGGTTTTCTTTGGGAAGGGAGAGACAAGAATAGGAGGAGAAGGAATTTCAAGTTATCAGTGCCATTTTATTACTTAAAACAGCTGAAGCAAAATGGCAATTGTTAACATTATTAAAATCTGGGTTGTAGACTCATGGTTGTTTTTAATATCCATGTACTTTTCTATAATAATTTAAAATAATTCATAATTAAAAACAACCTTCTCAGTAAGAGAAAAACTGTGGTAACCTTATAGTGTTTTCATGAACCTTATAGTGTCTACTGTATTTGTGGCATTTAATTAAATTGACCACTATTCCATTACCTTCTGCTACTTGCTTATTCTCTTTGTTTTATTTGTACTTGAGGTAATTTATAGTGTCCTTTCACCTGCTCACTGTTCAATGATAGGTATTTTTACTTGAATTTTATCTGCAGCTTTTTCAAGTGGTGTGATAACAATGCAGTCTCTGTCACACTAGTACATTGATCCAATATCTACAAGACCCTCATTATCTTAATTACGTTTCTTCCAAACAGTGGTCATTAATGAGAACCCAAATAGTTTCTCTAAATTCTAAATTATTCTAGAAACTGTTCTCTTAGTGATATTCTATTACTGCTCTAGGGATATGGGAAGGACAGTGGGGAGGCAGATGGAGGGCTTAATAACTTTGTCCTGGTGGACATACTTGTGTCTCTTTGTTAAGACTCATTTTCTAACTTTAACAATATAACTTTTCTCTTCTTTTTTTTTTTTCCTCCCAGGCTACCTTCAGTAAGATTCCCATTGGATTTATCCCACTGGGACAGACCAGTAGTTTGAGTCATACCCTCTTTGCCGAAAGTGGAAGCAAAGTCCAGTAGGTTGTCAATGTGGAATGTTAGCATTTGTGAGTGAGCGAGCTTGGGGATAAAAAAAATCACGTTTGATGTCCTTTTGTTTTTTGAGTTTGATGGCTTAAAACTTCCAATAATTGGGAGGAAGACCTAAATCAAGGTTCAACTTTTCAGTTCACTGGGAAGTTTCCCAGTTGGGTTGTGGGACTCTGCTAGGTCAGATGTGGAGATGAGTACTTCATGTTCTTTATCAGTTATAAAGATGGTATTTCTGACCCAAACTATTCTTGCACTTTTACACTGTAAGATTCCTTTAGAAAGGCAGATTTGCACTGACCGTTTGTTTACTGTAAGTATGCTCCATGCGAAATTATCAAGTCTCTTGTGAAGTTTGAATTGGTATTTTTGACTTCATTATCTTGATAATATAAATAGATAATAACCATTAAATATAATCACATCCTTTTGGGGCTCCCTAAAGTGGTAGGCAGTAGATAAAGCAGAGGAGAAAAGCAGTGTGGCTCTGACATCTATATTAAATTGCTAGCCTAATCAGGCAATGTGTTCAGAAATCAGGCAAATTGTTGTCCTGTTTTTGTGAAAACATTATGGAAACAAAGCCCTAGTCTTTCAAGAAGATAGGGATCTTGAATTTGAGGACTGGATTTCACAGTGATTAATAACATAATCTTGAGCAAATGGTTGTCTAGGAAATCTAAGTAAGTGGAGCACTGAGAGAGAGAGTTATATGATCTTTAATGTAAGCTTTGTGACACATTAGAAGAAGTCAGTAAGTAAATATTAGTTGAATTAATTAATTAAAATTTCCTTATGACTTTTCTAATTATTACCTTCTAGAATTAATAATACTCAGGCAATTTTCAATTTTGGGTAAGGATTTTTTTTTCCTTCTTTAGAATTGTTTGATTAGGCTAGTTTTTGTATATTTTTTTGTTGCTGTTGTAATTTTAGGAGCCACCTATTATAACTTAATAGTTCTGAATTTTTATAAAAGTCTTGGTGCCTGTATCAAACACTAGGTGTGCACATAGGCATATATAAGACATATATTCAAACATCACACATGCTTCAAACTTGAGTATAATGGTGATCATTCAGCTATTCACCAACCATCCTGAGGCCGAGCAAACAGAGAGGCTGTTTTAATTGGCTGTACTTTTTGGCCCAATTTAGAATTTTCGAGGGACAATAGTAATGACAAATGAATTACTCAAACATTTTTTTGCCTCTCTGAGATTAATCCTATCTGGTTCAGGTCTTGGTTACATTAGAGAACTTGTCTTCCCTTGTGTTGGTAGAAGTTATTTGAACTGCTTTAGCCAACATCTGCAAATACCATATGCCAGTGATCAGAGTAGGCAATTGCTTTGGAGAACCCTTTGCTTTTCCCAAAGCCAGTTTATCTGGAGTGTGGCAACCCTTAGAATCTGAGATAGCAGTCAATTTTTTGGAAGCTGATTTTCCTCTGTTGTTAAACTATTGTTATTGCTGCTTCTATTTATAATTTAAAGATTTATAAAGCTTAATTTATAAACATACCCCTGGGCTCTTAGGTAATCGAGTAATTCTGTCCTAGATTAGAATTTTGTAGACCTCTTAACCTGGCAGTTGCCTAAGGCTCTTTAAAAAGAACACAGCTTTGCTTTTTGCTCTGCTGCCAAGATTTCTTGTATCATAATTACTACAAGGAAAAAGTATGTTTTTTTTTTTTGAATTTGAAATGTTGCAGGTAAATAATCCTAAAAGTGCTGTTTGTGCTTTAGTACTACTTGATTTAGAACTTTCAGTTATATTGTTGGAGAATGGTGAACTTCAGGTTGCATTTTAGTTGTCTTCTGTCTGAACAACTCTATGACCATAATTTGATAACCTAGATGAAATGGACCAATTTGCCAAAATTCATACAAAAAGAAATAAACAGTAGTAAATGGATAAATAAACAGTAGGTAAATGGTAAATTAATAACCTGGTACATGCAGACAATTGGAATATTATTCAGCTCTAAAAAGAAATAAGCAAAGAAATGAGCTTTCAGGCCATGAAAAACACAGAGGAAGCTGAAATTCATACTGGTAAATTAACACTGCCAATCTGAAAAAGCTACACAGTGTATGGTTTCAACTATTTGACTGTGGAACTATGGAGACAAAAAAGATCAATGGTTGCCAGAGTTGGGGGAAGAAAGGGTTGAATAGGCAGAGCAGAGAGGATTTTTAGGGCAGTGAAACTATTCTATATGATACTATAGTGATAGATGTGTGTCTTTATATGTTTGTTGAAATCCATAAAATGTGCAACATACAGTGAACCCTTATATAACCCTGGAATTTGAATGAGTGGATGTAGTTTGCCAACTGTAACAAATGTAACAACCACTCTAGAGCAGAATGGTGATAACTGAGGAGGCTGTGTATGTGTGAGTGCGGGGCTAGTGGGGGGAATCTCTTTACCTGCCTCTCAATTTTGCCATGAACCTAAAACAGATGAAAAAAAATTAAGTATTAGCAGACTTAGAATAGTATTTTCAAACTTAATTGTCCTTGCTTAAATAAGCACAAGGAAAGGACTCTTAGTTTCTCCTCAATTTGGCAACATTAACATGGACCTCTGTGGCTACTCTTTCTCATCATTCGTTGTAGTTATATACTGCCCTTGAATCTCACCATTAAGATTCACTCACCTGGGACAATTTTAGTATCAATACTATCTTTATTGAACATATCAAATATATTTAAATCTATGAATGATTTCATAGTTAGTACTAAGAAAATAAAAATGAAAACTGATCACTTAACAGATGATACCAGGAAATGCATTAATATGAAATGTGTGTGTGTGTGTCTGTATATAAACAGACACACACACACACACACACACACACACATATTAAATGTTCAATGAAGAAATTTGAACATTGACTAAATAAGTTGACAGGAAATTTTAAAATATTTTAGGTATGATAATGTATATCATGGTTTTTAAAAGCACCTTTATCTTTTGGAAATTCACAGTGAAATAATTATGCATGAAGTATCAAGATATCTAAGATTGGCTTTAATTGATAGAAGAGAGGGGATATGTGAGGGATAGAAAGGAAGTAAGATTGTCTGAATTAGTTGATAATCATCTAGGCTGGGTGAGGAACATACAGGAATTGGTGGTACTATTTTCTGTACTTTTTACAGAATAAAACAATTCATTCAGAAAATATTGAGTGTGTACATGTGCCATGCACTATGCTAGGTTTAGGTTTTACATTGATCGGTAAAAGCACGAAAATCATTACTAACCTTATAGAACTTTCAGCTCTCAGGAGGCAGGTGATAAAGAGATTCACAGTGTATGATAAATCGTGATCTCTGAAGGGACATTAACAGTTTAGTGATAGAGAATTATAGGGAAAGCCCTCACTACAGGCTGAATGGGGTGGGTCTCTGAGATGGTGGTATTTCAACCAAGACCTAAAGGATTAGAATGGCCAGCCATGAGAGACTGGAGATGGATTACAAGACCTGGAGTTTCGAGGAAGTACTTGACATAAGTCCCCTTATTCTTTCACTCTGAGAGCAAGTATCTTCTTTTCTAACCACTTGCTTGTGTAATATTTATTTTTTGACTATTCCTAGTGTATTTATGTGTGTCTAATCTTAGCTCCAATTAAAGAAGAAACTCCAGAACTACATAGTGCTCTGAATAGATGTTAGTAGCATGTGACTTTGACGAGTCCTTTTCAAAAGACTGTCAGGACGTAAATATGAATAGTCTTGAGTCTTTAAGCAAAAGAATCATCAATTAAAATGAAGTATATCCTAGTAATCCTGGAAAATAAGAGAAATAAGTCTTGGGTTCTGGATTATATTTTGTTAAGATAGCTACAACAAATCCTGTCCTTTATTTACCCTTTTGTCTGTTAGAGTATAAAGATATACTGTTTTTTTTTGAAGTGCCTGAATTTCTTACAATGAATTAAAGATGTTATATTATTATTATTATTATTTATTTAAGTACTATGTTTTCCTATGATTAAATATAAGGCACAATGGAGAGACTCAATAAATGTTAAATAAGTGATTGATGCCTTGTACAAACTTCTCTTTGCCAAAGCCTTCTCTTTTGAGTCTGTATCAGAGCCTTCTACCATATTTATATCAGTTATAAATATATAAATAAATATTTAAATAAATATTCTTTTATACTCCTTTGTTCTGCTTTCTTGGACTATTTTGAAAGACATCTTCCTTACCTATCTACTCCTATTCTGGGCGGGAATGTATATGTGGTGGGGGGAGAGATGTTGCTTATTTTTCACAGCATAATTTCCTTTTTGTTCCTATTTAGACATATTACAGATGCCACACTTGCCATTGTAAAAGGAGAGACAGTTCCACTTGACGTCTTACAGATCAAGGTAAAGTCTTTCCTTCGATTTTGAAAAAATTATGGAAGTAGTAGACATGTACATGTAAAAGAAAATTAAATGTTGTGGTTCAAATTAGACTGCAATGAATAGTCCCTCTTCCCTCCCTATTCCAAGTATTAATCTCCAGAACAAAAATCTTATGTGCTGGTTGGGGATATAGCTCAGTTGGTAGAGTGCTTGCCTAGCATGCACAAGGCTCTGGGTTCAATCCCCAGCACCACCACCACCAAAAAAAAAAAAAAAAAAACCATCTTATGCGTTAAATCACTAATTAATATGCTTATGATCCTACTTTTTAAAGATATTGTGTGTGGTAGGGATTGAGTGTACATCTCAGTGGTAGAGTGTATTCTTAACATCTCCAAGGGCCTGATCCATGGTACTACATGCACACATACAAGTAAAAAAAAAATCATGGTAAACATCACATAAACAAAATTTACTATCTTATCTATTTTAAGTGTATACTACTTCAGTAGTATTAAGTATATGATGCTACTTTTTAATGTATCAGCTTTTTTCTTGACTTCTGTTATGATTCCCTCTATATGTCTTCCTAATGAGTTGCATCTCTATTTTCAATTTTTCTGTTGACTGTCTTTGGATCACAAGCAGTTTATCTGTTATATGGTTGTTCTGAATATTAAGAGAGCTCATAAATATAAAGTCCTTAGGACAGTGACTGATTTCATCTCACTTGTTTATATAGTGGCCACTTCTTTCTCCTATGCTTTGTTGGAGTTGAAACCTTGCTCTTGTCCCATCTTTACTTTGGAGCAATCTGTCATTATTTGGAACTCAGGTTACTTGGTTGTCTTGCAATCTTACTACCTTTTACCTTATTACCTTTTACCTTATTACCTTTCATATTAACTTAAAAAATTGTGATTTTTATAGTTTTTCTTTTTCTCATTTTTCAGGTAGGAATAATGTTTTTTATAGCTTCTATACATCCTAGGTGGGAACAGAACATCCTATTTTTATATCGCATTGTTTAACATTTTCTGGTTCATCTGTAGAGAAACTCATGAATTGTTTTAGAAATGCGTTTACTGGCTATGCCCTCTGAAAGGGATTAGAAGCAATGGACACCCCACAGAAGTGAACATGCCTGGCATTCAGATTTTCTTCTCTAAACATTCCCTAACAAAAATAATCAAGATTCTGTGATGGGATGCTTTTTAGAAGCAGAGCAGAAAGGAAAGGGAATACTCAAAAATTGATGGGGACATCACAGAAAGAAAAGAACTAGCCTGGTGGTGTCATACTCACTGATTTGGAGACATTTTGAATATCAAAAAAACAGTAACACTGATGGATTATAATACCGAAAATAAAAACGAAGAATCCATGAGTGTCCAGTGATATCACAGAATTGCCAGCTTATAAATATAAATGGAATGATAGAATAAGGATATTAGTATTTTCCGTCACCAAATGGCTAATTGATTTCAGGTTGAGATCATCCATGAATACTAAAAGTATTAGATAAAAAGCTGTTGGGAAACAAATATCCAAATAGTCTCAAATTATTAATAATTTAAAAAAAAATACATTTTTAGAGTGGAAAAAACTAGGATATACCACTTCATCCAAGTAATCAAACTGAATACCACCAATAATGAAGCAAACTGTCATTATCTGACTTCTGATGTGATATACTGAGAAACATGCACCAACACTTATGCAGTTTCCTGACCAAAGTGATAAACTCATCTGAATCTAATTGAATCTCATCACAAGAAAAGTATCAGACAAATACAAATTTTGGACTGGCCTCTTCCAAAAATGTCAATGTCATGAAATCCAAAAGAAGGTAGTCTCTTCAAGATTAAGGGAAACTAAAGAAGTAAAACTAAATCCAGTATAAGATCCTAGATCAGAAAAATGAAAATCAGTTGCAATCCTGATAGACATTATTAGAACATTTAGAGAGATATTTTAATATGAAGTCTATATTAGATATTATATATTAGTGTTAGATTTCTAGAGAGTGACATTGGTGCAATGTTATGTCTGTGTATCTTTGTTCTTAGGAGAGGCATGCTGAAATATTTGTGAATTCCTTAACTTATTTGCAAATTAAGTAATACTATGGAACATACACATAGAGAGATAAGGCTAATATAGTGGAGAGATATGGGTAATGATGAATTTAGGTGAGAGGTATAAATGGTATTCATTGTACTACTTAGATTTTTTGGTTGACATTTTTTCGAAAATAAAATGTTTTGGGAAAAATGTTCAATACCCATTTCCGATTCTTGATCAGGATTCTCTCTTTAAAAAGAATTTAATTCCTGGAAAACATATATTCTTACTTGGATAGTAGTTAAATTACTGTTCTTTCTTCATCTAATTTGTTTTCCCCTAGTCAAAATTCATGGGCTAGAGTTGTGGCTCAGTGGTAGAGTGCTCGCCTAGCATGTGTGAGGCACTGGGTTCAATTCTTAGCACCACATTTAAACAAATGAATAAAATAAAGATCCATCAATACTTAAAAAAAAAAAAAGGACAAATTCCTAAGAAGGCAAATCTGTGCTGTTAAATCTTCCTATAAATTGTAAGTTTCTTGTACTCTTTACTCAGATTTGGCCTTAAAATATACCAACTTCTACCAGGCATGGTGGAACAATCCTGTAATCCCAGTGGCTGAGGAGGCTGAGGCAGGACAATCACAGTTCAAAGCAAGCCTCAGCAATACAGTGAGGCTCTAAGCATAATAGTGAGATCCTGTCTCAAAATAAAAATAAAAAAGACTTGAGATGTGGCTAAGTGGTTAAGCACCCCTGAGTTCAATCCTTGGTACCAGGGGCGGGGGAAAAAAAAGTACCAGCTACTTTAAGAATGAACATTTTTATATTTCATATGCTTCTTGATATTTGCTAAAGGGTCATAATTTCAAACTTCAAGCCCTAAAAGTCTCTATTAGTAACACTGATTGAGCACCCCAAATCTGGAAAACTCCAAATTTCAGATTTGTCTGAATCAAAAATTCAGTCAGATTTGATTCTGATCAGATTCAAATCTGAAATTTAGAACTTTCCAGATTCAGGATGCTCAACTGGTGATCTTTGTGAAAATATTCCCAAATCCTAAAAACTCCAAAATTGGAAATGTTTCTGATCCAAAACATTTTAGATAAGAGGTCACCCTGGGTAAAGTTTGCAGTGTGCATTTATAACTGGTAAACATGAGCTTTTAAGATTTGCCTTGTATTTTCCTTTCTTCATGCAGAGATAGCCAGGCTCTAGCATGACCTCATTGGTCATAAGAGAAGTGATTTAAATATTGTAGTTGATCTTTCAGCATATAATAAGTTAGGTTGTTCTCACAAAAAGTAAAACCTTTGCTTAAAGAAATTCTAGCCTAGGTAAAGTACTAGATTGTTATCTAGAAGATAGTATTTTAAAACATTGTTATTGCTAAAAGATTCTCTCTTAATAACAGGATATATCAGGGTAGATTTCTTAATAACTGAGTGATTTACTTTTGTTTATATAAGTATTAGAAGTGCATTTTATAGTAATTAGAATTTAATTGGAAATAGTTGATGTGCTTTATTTAAATGTCTCATCTCTCTATCTCTTTCCTTCAATGTACTGATTTTTTGAATTGATGAAACCAAGATCCAAATTACCACAGGTTCCATGTATTAATGATGCAGCCCAGGAAGCAGAAAACTTTTAAGTGAGTTCCTGGAAAACAGCTTCTCCTCTGGTTTCTGAGGAACTCAACTCAGTTTAATTCATTTCCCCTTTTCTCCTTATTTTTGGAAAGAGCTTTCAGATATGGAGAAAAGCATTAAGGCATAGTCTGAAATCAAAAGCATTATAGATGAAGCCTGACAACAAATTCTTCTTTTAGAGATCAACTCAAACTCCAATAAACATTTAACTGCAGATTCTCCAAAGATAAAAGCAGCAGTCATTGGAAGTTATAATGATGTCTTGCATTTAGCTTTTTCAATGTTCACCATGTGTTCATATCTCATGTGAACCTCTGACTGAGTCAAGATGTGTATCAGCATCTTCATTTGACAGTCACTGGTTATGTGACTATGTTGGAGACAAAGCTAGGCTGTTTTCTGACTCATGGTCTGTTGCTTTTTCTACTTTATCACTTGGCAATATACCATGATTTTTAAAGAGCAGTTTTTTTCCAATATAGACATCTTGAATACTTAACTCTAAAGAAACTACTGGAAAGATTCATGGAATTTTTTCTAGTCTTTTTGATTTTTCAATTTTTAGACCACAGAATCAGATAGGGGAGATGGTGGGGGGCTGGAACATTTCCCTTATCCTCTGTATCCTTCCTGGCTAGTTACTTGTACTCCTTCTTCTTAGACCCGGGCTCTGAGCATTTTCCTAAGATGCTTAGAGGTTCTTCAGGGGTCCCTCCATCTATGTCTTCATCTAGAGTCCCTAAACTTCCTAGGTTAGGCAGGTAAATAATTGATAGGAATTGTTTTCTTTTCATTGTTCCTTAAGCCTATATTCCAATCCGCTCTTTCAACTATTTTCTTCCTCAAATCCCTGCTTTCTCAGGGATTTGCTCTTTCAGGTGTCTGTGAATTGGGGCAACACATCTCCTTTGCTGTGTGGACCTGGCTGTGTGGTTTTTTTTTTTGTTTTTTTTTTTCTGATCTGTCCATCTCATGATTTGCCTGCCTGCCCAGACCTTCAATGGGCTAAGATATAGTGATACCTTGTCTCTTGGCCTCTTCTCTGTTGTTGTGACCATATTTATGCTTATTTGACATTGTTCATGTCTGGCACAAGCTCCACAGGGGCTTATCTCCTTTACGGACCTTCAGATACTTCTGAATCTTGACCCCTCTCTGCCCATTCAGTTCTTGGTTGGGCATCTCTACATCTGTTTGAACATTCCTGGCTGCCCATTTTGTTGGCCAGAATCATCCCACCTCTTGCTAGGACATAGCACCCCATATCAGTGGAAGCTTGAGATTATAAGACTTTTCTGTTGTCCTAACAGAATATTCCTAAGACTCTTCCCCCCAGATGAAGGAGGAGGAAACATGTTGGGGCACCAATCTGCAAGTCTTGAGAACTTGCCTTATCATGTCTTACCTACACCACATACCTTAGAATGGAGTTCCCAAGTCCTCCCAGAGAAGGGTTGACAGTTAACCAAAAAACTGCATGTTATATTTCTCCTTTTGGAAATTTATGATGTACATTACCATACTAAAGACCCTAAGAAGAGCTGCACTACACAGCTTGTTTCAAACCAAATAGGTTTCGTGTTTCCCATTCTGTCTCACCATGGAATCTTGTCATCACCATCAGCGTTGTTGGGGACACTTGTTTTTATCTTAGGAATCCCATGGGGAAATGCTGAGGATACAGCAAACACACAGCGTTGTTTCTTCCTCCTGGGCTAGAGTGCTTTCTCCTCTCCTTTTCTTCTTTCTCTCTAGTCCTCTCCCAACCTCTCCTAATCTAGGTCCCTTATTTTAAAAATGTTACTGATAAGATTACAAAGTTGCAGGTAGGAGGAATAAGTTTTGAGATCTAATTAAACAGGCAAGAATCAATAATAATGTATTATATGTTTCAAACTAAGAACCTTCAAGTGTCTCATCAAAAAAGATAAGTGAGGTGATGGATACGTTAATTAGCTTGATTCAATCATCTTACTTTGTATACATATATAAAATCATCACATTGTACCCTATTAATGTGTACAACTGGGATTTGTCAATTAAAAATAACGTTAACAGCCAGGTGTGATGGCGCATGCCTATAATCCTAGCAGCTAGTAAGGTGGAGGCAGGATGATCACAAGTTCAAAACCAGCCTTAGCAACTTAGTGAGGCCATGAGCAGCTTAGTGAGACCCTGCCTCAAAATAAAGAATAAAAAAGGGTAGTATGGGGCTTAGTGATTAAGCATCCCTGGATTCGATCTCTATTACTCCTCTTGCCCAAAATAGAAAGGGCTGGGGATGTGGCTCAGTGTTAAGTGCCCTTGTTCTTAATCCCTGATATCTGTACCCTCCAAAAAAAGTCAATAAAAAATATATAAATTTGTGTTTTGTTTTAAAATGTGTGTTGTTCTCCCTGACCTCCTCTTTTGCTCTCCAACACATTATACAACTACACGTGCTTTGTGCTGTCATAATTTTCTACATATCTGTTATTTGAACTGCCTATAGATGTGCCTTTTGTTTGTATTTGAGTCTAAATAGCCTCTGCTATACTTTGAGCTCCTTCATCCTTGTCACAAGGCCTAGAGTGGGGTGCTCAATAAATATTTATTGGTTAAACGAATGAATGCATCTTTTTTAAAAAAAATTTATTCTAGTTTGTTATGTATGACAGTAAAATGCATTACATTTCATATTACACATATAAAGCACAATTTTCCATATTTCTGGTTGTATACAAAGTATATTCACACCATTTGTGTCTTTATACATGTTCTTAGGGTAATGATGTCCATTTCATTCCACCCTCATTTCTACCCCCATGCCCCCTCCCTTCCCCTTTTCCCCTTGACCTATCTAGAGTTTATCTACTCTTATCATGCTTCCCCTCCCAACCCCACTATGAATCAGCCTCCTTATATGACAGAAAACATTTAGCATTTGTTTTTTTGGGATTGGCTAATTTCACTTGGCATTATATTCTCCATCTCCATCCATTTACCTGCAAATGCCATGATTTTATTCTCTTTTTATTGCTGATGAATGTATAAAGATGCATCTTAAGATATTTGAGAATGACTTTGCAGAATTATAGTGAGAAAAGTTTTTGATTCACGTAAATGCTTTATAAGGTTAGTCTGTCACTTAATTTTATGATTAACAACAATTTCACATAATTTTTATTTTAAAATAAATTTTATTTACTGGTTTGTGCTACTCATTGTTTCAGGAGGTGAGTCTACAGTGGTGATAACCCTTTATATACTCTTAGTAGATCGCCTGTAGATAAGTTTGAATATCAAGCAAAAGAGAACTCTGTTTTCACAGATAGAAGCCAGTGTTCAGGGGTTAAGTGGCATGCCTTATAGCACCTATGAATTATTGAGGATTCTTACTTCAAAATACTTGAGTTAAGTTGCTATTCTATTTTATAAATCTCCAGTGATCAGTATGCAACATTTCTATGAAATCATGTGGACTTCACATGCTTGCTTATGCTTTGGTAAAAGCATTACTTATTATATCCAAAAACATTGTCATTCTGATGCTCCATAAACAGGCAGGCAAGAAATCATCTTGGCTCTAAAGATATTCAGAATATAGCATTTCATCTTTTTCTACCTCAGCCCTGGGCACCGTCATCTTTTGTCTAGATTATTTCACGGTTCTGTACAGTTCTCCCTCTGTCCTTACCTCTTTGTGATCTTTTTTCAACAGTCAGGATGCAGTGACAAGTTAGGGTACCTCACTCTGCTCAAAGCCCTTTGGTAGGGTCCCATCTTTGAATAAAAGCCAAAGGCCTTCAGGCCACAGTCTTGTCCCTATCATCTTTCTGGCCTTATCTGTATTGGTTGTGTACTTCAGGTCTGTGCAGATGTTACTATATGGACAGAATCTTCCTCCACCTCCTTATATTGATTGGTAATCACTCCTCCTTGGAATATCTGCACTTCTATTTTACTCTCCCCTTTTCTACTGTTTCTAGCCCCTATACTGTTGATATGTGGGAAAAGGTTAGAGAAAGATCTTTTTACTTAGCAGGTGGTGTTATAGATCTCTGTTGATGGCTGAGGCCCTAGTACAAGCTCTCTTGTGGGTTCACATGTGAATTCCTTGGGATGCCTCCCTTGACGTCATTTTCTGGTGTTGGAGATCTGTTCTAGCTCCTCCTCTTTCAGCTCCCTCCCTTAACTCCTGGGCATAGTACCTTCCATAGCCTCTCACTTCTGGAGTACTGTGGCCATTGTGCCAGTCTCTTAGATGAGGTACTGTCAAAACAACTCAATCCTGCTGTCGTCTATTATATCCACTTAGCACCTGGGAAACCAGTGTGTCCTTTGTCGGTCACTCAGCGAGTTGCCCCACTCTCACCCATTTTCTATGCCATCTCTGCTTCTAAGAGCAGAAAAGCCAGTCTCTCTTTACTGCACTAGCAGGGATGAGAGGCTGGTGTCTCTTTCTTGTAGCTTCTCCTACTTATGTGTGATTTGCCAAGAAATTCCTTGCTTGATTTTGGTGTAGTGGGAGTGGGACTGACAACAGGGCTGGGAGAGCCCTCCTCTTCTGAGAGAAGAGGTAGCATGCTTTTTCCAAGCCAGCAACTTCCAGTGCTAAGGTCACACAGGTCATAATCTTTCACATGCTAGTGTAGTGGGGTGATGTGTGGGGGACACCCTACTGTCTTGCTTTTGGTAAAAGCAAGACTTATTATATCCAAAAACATTGTCATCCTGACTGTGTGAATGATCCCATCCACACAGCAAGGGATCATTATACTGCATCGAGGTATGAATCAGCTGAGAAAAATTAACCAGAAATTATAGAAATAAAATAAAAATTAATTTATTAATTGAAAGCGGGACATGGTGAGACCAGCTCTGATGGAGACAGGATTTGACAACAAAATGGAGTCTGAGCAGCTATTTATGTGGGCAGGTGCACCAGAGGGATTCAGTGGAAAGAACTTCTTCAGGAAAACAGGAGGAAGATAGAAAAAACAAGTTATTTGGGGCTTAGCAGGTTATGCCAACCTCCTTTATCTCTGGGCAGGCTGGGATTTAGAAATCAAGGCTTTTAGAACTAGTGAGTTCTATGGCAAACACAGAACTTTCCCCCATCAATAGTAATTGCTTTGCAGATGTGTATCCTCCCCGCACCCTTGTATCATGGGGTTCCCCAAAGCAGTGTTTCATTGATTAGGGTTTCACATAGTTCAAAGCAATGATTTATCAACCACCTATGACATAACTGGTTCTACTGCCTTTTAGCAAACTCTCTGTTGTGTCTAGCATTTGTCAACTCTCTTTAGAATTGAGGGTGGCTGTTAGTATTCAGCTCTTGGGATTTAGCTATGATTTTGAATACATAAATAAAAATTCTATCTAGAATCTTGGTGTATATATATTACATATACTTTAAGGAAGGTTAATTTTGAATTATTAAATTCTTAGGGTTATTGTTTGTTGGATGATTTGTCTCATTATTGCTTAATACACCAATTTGTTAGAAACTTAATAATTTTAATATGTGAGATTTGGCTATACAATATTATATTAAATCTGAATCACTTTTTACTCTGACTTGACATATATTTGTGTTTTCCAATATTCAGGTGATATATCCTAGAACATCAGAATTATATCTTAAGAGTTCTTGGTCCTTTAAAGAGAATGCAGGCTTAAGTTATCTTTGCCTTGGACAAGTTTTTGAGGGAGAAGGAATTCTGGCTGACCTGATTAGTGACTTGCTCAAGAACTAGCATAGTTCCTTAATTTACAGTCTGGGAGTATGGTAGTATGTCCTTGATGACAGATTCATGAGACCTAATATATAAAAATTACTTTCACTTTACAGTATGGATTATTCAAGTTCTCTTTCCCTATGCTAAGAGGGTTAATTTCTTTAATGTTTGAACATACTTTTTAGAATCTGGGTTGTTGGACAGCATGAACACTTGCTGGGTCCTTACACATAGAGAGTTCTGAGCTATTGTATTTGTGAAACTAAATGAAGTATATTTAATTTCCAGGGTGAAAAGGAACAACCTGTGTTTGCAATGACTGGCCTACGATGGGGATCCTTCAGAGATGCTGGCGTCAAAGTTAGCAAGTAAAGGATTGTTACATTGATAGTTTTTTAAAAATCTTTTTCTGTCCTTGCCTTTGAGGTATTAATACAGTGGTCTGGGAATAAATCAGGTGGGCCTGGAGGTTGAACTGGGTATGATTAATGAGGTAGGAACACTGAGCCAGAGGTTTGCATCCTGTTTGCTCAACAGTAGCTTGTTGGGAGCTGAAGAGCAGAGTGCTCCGTCTCTAATTTTAGTCACAGTATTTGAGTGGACATTTAGGCTCAAGCTAGAAGGAAGGGAAGCTGAATGCCTGCCATACAGCAGCATGTTCAGCTGGGTTCTGAGCTAAAGGCATTGCATGGCCTCAGTTTAATGGAGCTTTTACAGTCCTGGTTGGGGTACCTTTCCTGAGAGGTGTTTTTTGTTTGTTTGTTTGTTTGAAGGCCTCACAGATTAAGAGACCACTGGCTACCTCTCTTTGAGAAGGGTGAAAGGTGGACACCTGGCTGTGATGTGACATGGGTGAACAGGCTGTAGAGTTGCTGATTAGAGGGCCATTGCTGGCTTTCATTGCAATAGACTTATTTTTGGAGAATCCATTGTATGAAATGAAACTCTTGGCTGGAAAAGAGTGCATGTTGTGTTCCATTTGATGAGGAGAGATTGAGGAGGCTAGGGCTTCCACCGTAGGACTGAGGGAGGTGCCCTGTGAGGTGCACCTCATTCCTGGCAGATGGTATTTTTGTCTTTCTTTTTCTTAAGGCCCAGAACTTCAGATTTCAGTGTAGTTTAGCTGATTGTGGTTGATCTCATACACAGCTCTCACATCAAGAAAACCTTCTTGGGGCTGGGGACATAGCTCAGTGGTAGAGCACTTGCCTACCATGTGTGAGATGCTGGGTTTGATTCTCAGCACTGCATGTAAAAAAATAAATAAAATAAAGGTCCATTGACAACTAAAAAAAAGAAACCCTTCCTGTACTTGGCAGGCAAGTCTGCCACACTTTCTTTACAGAAATTTCTCTTACTTGTTTCACTTTATTATTCTTGCTAATGAAATTTCTGACTGTGAAATGTCAAAAGACAGATATTACTGTGTTATATTGCACACTGCAGTCTTAAATATTTCACATCTTCTTATTTGCAAGTATACCATGATTATGTCGATGCCACAAATTACCTTGTGTTTGATCTGCAGTCTCATATTCCCACAGCTCACCAAGAAGAATTGCTTAGCTCTCCCTAAAACAGGCTGGTGAGAACAAGTTGCTTTCCAAAATGTGTTGATCAACAATTAGATACAAGCATAGGTCAGGCCTCTTAGGAATATCTCACATACTTGTCCTGTATTTTGACAAGTTTCCAAACAGTGAATTTTAAAATTTGGTGGTGGTTATATTATACCATGACTAGGACTGGCCACAGAGTTGCTTTTTGTGTGAAAGGAGAAACAGAAGGGATACAAGAAATCACTCCCTAGCTGGCCATAGGAAGACTACAAGCTTGGTATTAAAATTTGCTATTGGTAGAGGTGAGGGAACTGCTGACAATTTAGAAATAAACTGCCTGAGTCAGGATGTTTTCTATTTGGCTAACTGGGAAAAAAATCAAAGTATAAAGTAAGCTAGAAAAAAATAAAATCAGATGACCGAGGCCCTTGTTAGTAGCCTCACAATATTAACCTAAATAATGATTTAGAGTGCTCCACATTGCCTGTTGGAGTCAGTCTGTACACATTCTGCTATTCTAGGCTCTGCTTACTGTGTCATTGGCCTGTAGTTATGTATTTATATATCTTTATTTTTAAGCTTTCCTTCTTTTTCTGTTACTCTCACTATTTTCCATATCTTTGCTCCTCCTCTTGCCTAAAATGACTTCCTTCCCTCTTTTGTGAACCTAAACCCGACTCAGGCCCACCTACATTCTAAGCTCTGTACCTTTGCTTTATTCTTGTGCCATTCATTTCACAAGTGTGGCTGTTCCAGTGGTTTTAGGCCTTTAATGATTTTTGTCCTTTCTTGACTCCCCTTGCCAATGATAAATAGTGAACAGTTTAAACCATGACCTATATATTCATATATTATTTTCTATTATTTGGGGGTTTATTTTCTCTAATCATAAACTCCCAAAGATGAGAATTTTATACTCTATATTTTTTTGCCTCTATATATATAGTGAGAGCTAAATGAGTATCTATGGATCAGAATCAGTAGGGAGCAATGAAAGTAGGATGGTTGATAACACAGATAAATTTCAAGAAAGGAATCTACTTTTTCCCCCCACATTTTTTATCGGTACATTATAGTTGTACATAGTGATGGAGTTTGTTACATATTTGTACTTGCACTCAAGATGGCAATATAATTTTGGCCAGTATCACTCCCCAGTACTTCCCCCTTCCTCCCAACTCCCGGTCCCTTTCCTTTATTCTACTGATCTCTCTTTGATTTTCATGAGAGCACCCTCTAACACCACCACCTTTCTGTTCCTTTTTCCTCTCTATCTTCCACATATGTGAGAAAACATATGACCCTGGACCTTCTGAGTTGGGCTTATTTCACTTAACATAATGTCTCAAGTTCTTTCCATTTTCCTGAAAATGCCATAATTTCATTTTCTTTATGGCTGAATAAAACTCTAATGTATATACCATATTTTCTTTATCCATTCATCTGTTGATGGATACCCAGGCTAGTTTCATAATTTGGCTATTGTGAATTGTGCTACTATAAACATTGGATATACATCTAACACTATAGCCTGAGGACTTTAATTCTTTAGAATAAATACCAAGAAGTGGTAAGGCTGGATCATATGTGGCTGGATCATATCATGCCTAATCTTTTGAGGAACCTCTATACTGATTTCCATACTGGTTATACTATACTAATTTATAATCCCACCAACAGTTTAAGTGTTCCTTTTTCTCTACGTAAGAGGAATCTACTTTCTAATTCCAACTAGGCATCTTCCTTTCTTCAGTAACTTTTATGTGTCTAGCAGTACTCAGTAGGTCCTCTTCACTTTGGTTTAACATTTGCCACTAAAACTGCATAACGCAAGTAATGTTAAAGTATGCTGGTTTACAAATTTTAATTGTTGGTGTGTTGGTGTGTGAGAGAGGACATGGGGTACAGGATCCCATCATGTGTCCTACAACACAGTAGGCTGTGCAGCATCTTCATCATCTCAGTGTGGCTTCAGCATCCTCTCTTTGCGGCTCTTTTGACTGTGTTCTCAACTGCATTTTGTGGTTGAAATTCTGTATTATAATGATACTTTTGAATTTAGGGACTCCAGATTCTAGTTATTTGTCTCTTGTAAATTGCAAACATCTTTCTACTGTCTAATTACATACAGTTGGCCATGGCATTGAAATACAGATTAAAATGTACTGTAGTATGCTTATGTTAAGCCACAAAGCCTCCAGAGCAGCAAATCATAATAGCAGTGTCATTCTAACATATCATTTATCATGAGTGCTATCTATCATATTGTTATATCTTTTAATATTCTAATCATATTTATCTTGGTCTTCCTCAGGTACTGGTATCTTGGGCCTCTAAAAATCAAAGCAGCCCACTTTTTCAGCACTCTTCAGGTAAATGCAATTTATAATGTAGAACCTGCCCTGTGTTACTTTGTTGTTTTTGTGATGTGTGCATTTGAGGGTTTTTTTTTTTTTAATTCCTTGTAACAAATGCATGTGGCTTACTCCAACATTAAAATGGTCCATTTGATGATATACAATTACAGAAAGCATTCTTGTTTTTGTAAGAAACCACTGCTCATCTACAAACTCATTTCTTCCATGACCAAAACCAGACAAACCTTGAACAGAATGACATATATCTCAATTATTTATATGTGTCTCTATTAGTACCTGCCAATGAATTGAAAATTTCTAATGGAATATATCTAACTGTACTTTTGTATAATGTCAATAGGTTTCAAACTATACTAGCCAAATATGGGTAATGGTTACTGTATTGGACAGTACAGACATAGAACATTTAAAATTTTTTTCTTTTAATATTTCTTTTTTAGTTGTCAATAGACCTTTATTTAATTTATTTATATGTGCTGCTGAGAATCCAACTCAGGGCCTCACACGTGCTAGGCAATTGCTCTACCACTGAGCCACAACCCCAGCCCTAGAACATTTTCATCATCAGAGAAGGTTCTTTTGGATAGTGTTGCTATATATACTATACATTAAAAATTATTAAGGGCTAGGGGTCTGGATCACCAGTAGAGTGCTTGCCTAGCATGTGTAAAGCCCTGGTTAGATTTCCAGAAGAGAAAAACAAAAAGAAAAACACAGTAAAAATCTTGGCACAGAGAAAATCTCAGCAATTTATATTACTGAAATGCTAATAGAAAAATCATCCTTATCTGTGGACTAAATACTATGATCAGCTTTTATGCTAATCAAAGTAGTATAATCAGTTTGGCTGGATAATCTGAAAATTGGTAGTGAGAAAATTGGTTCCAATGTTAATATTCAAATTTATCAAGTTTTTTTCCTAATTATAAGAGTAATACTGGTCCATTGCAAAACATTTGGAAAACATAAATCCCTTAACCTGAAAAAAATTCCTGTTGGATTTAAAACTTAAATGTTAAAAACTAATATTGCTGAAATACAATAGTGGTTTTAAAAATTAACTTGTCTTTCTATACCAGAGGCAGACTGGATTGTAAAGTGCATTATTATCCAAGAGAGTAATCACATTGATGAGCAGTGGGTACATTTAGGAATAAACAGCATGACTATATGTTGAAAGGGTGGAGTACTGTTTCCGCAGTGTATTCAGTAAGCAATTATTGATATAAGCCTAGGATACCAAGCCAAACAAGAGGTTTTCTGACTTCAAGAAGTATTTATATGCTTGAGAGAAGTATTACAAGAAAATTTACATTTTGGCAAGTGCTAGGGGAGAAATAGGAAAGGATGAGATGGAAGCAGAGAGGGCAGCTTCCTAAATCTAAGTAAGGTCAGAAAGCCTTCTCAGTGAAGGTGACACTTATGCTAAATTTTGAACTGTAAGTAGGACTAAAAAAGGGCATTTTGGTTAGAGAGACGGGCCTCATGAAGTCCTCGTCACAGTGATGGACCATGGTCATTAATTACAGTTTATGCCGTAGGATGTCAGGAGAGGAAGCCGGAGGACAGATTGGGGCAGGCTTTGATGTGCCATCTGACCTTTATCCTTAAGGCACTGGGGAGTTTTTGAGTCTTAAGCAGAGGCACATCATGAGCAATCTGCATTTTGGAAAAACTGTTTGGCAGCAGTGCAGGCAAGAGATTAGACATGGGTGGCTAAAGGAAGGACATTGGAGAAAAGAGTCTTATAGTAATTCAGTGATAAGGTATAGACTAAGGCAGTAACAATGAATGTGGACAGTGCAGGTCAATCAGAGAGCTCTCAGGTTAAAGGTCTCAAAAGTTGGAAGAACACTGGACTGCCAGATTTTTGGTTTAAGGTACCAGAGATTGGTAACTTAGTTTTTCATTAATGTTAATAATACTAGAGTAAGATCAAGTTTGTGAAGAAAGATGAAATTTTTAGTTTTGTTTGTGTGAGCTTAACAGAGAAATGGAGATACAGTTGTGAGTTGGGTGGAATTCAGCAGAGTGGTCTGGTCTAAAGAAATCTATTTAGACGTCATATGTGTGTGAGTGGAGTTGAAACTCTGGGTTTGGTGAAGTCACCATTGACAGGTGGCCAGGAATAGCCTTGAGGGATTAAACATTTAGAAAGTTGGAAAGGATGACTGGGAAATGCTAAGAAGAAATCTAGGAGAGTTCCAACAGAGAAGCCCACAGAGAGGAATTTCTAGAATTGTAAGAAGCAACAGCAAAGAGTCTAGATCAAGATGGGAATGCGTCCTCAGGATTTGGCAGCCGTGGTGACCTCTACAGTGGGGGCAGGGTAGTAGCATATTAAGGAAAGCTAAGGAATGAGTGGGAGGTAAGGAAGTGTATTCTACCCTTTCAAGAACTTGGCTTGGGGGAAGAAAGAGAAACTTGATTTTGAAGAGGAGTTAAAAAAAAATGCAAAAGCTGGAGAGAAGTAAACAATAGATCAGTGGAGTGTTTTGTTTTTTCTTAAATTTTTTTCCAATTTTTTTTCTAGTTGTAGATGGACACGATTTCTCTCTTTCTCTCTTTCTCTCTTTCTCTCTCTCTCTCTTTCTCTCTTTCTCTCTCTCTCTCTCTCTCTCTCTCTCT